TCCAATTGTCCAAATGTTGACCAACCCCTAAAAGTCAACAAAAGTCAACAGAGGGCAGCACACACCACGTACCAGCTCTTGTACGCGGGGCGTACTCCAGCGATCCAGAATCGGGGTCTCAAACCCTTACGCAGCGCGTACTGAGATTTACGAACAGCGTAAGTCTCAGTTTCCTACTCTTATGGATTTTTGGTCTTAAACGGTTAAGACATATGCTCAAACTCCAGATCTGACTATTCTAAGGTCACTTAATCCATAAAGTCGGAACCTTTAAGCCTTTGCATAACTATAAAGATCACCAATCACTCTAAACACCTTTCCTCTTTCCTCATTAAGCCAATACCTCATGCATGGCTTAATATTTACGTCCAAGATTGGGTTTTTATGAACCTTCAACACATATTACACTGGAATAGGGCAGATCTAAGCTTATGGAGACCCTTTGCTTATAAAGTCTCCACCTTAGAACCAAAAACCCTAAAAATGGATCCATAAAGCATAAATCACGAATGACAAGGAAAGCTTTGGGCTTTTTACCTCTGAATGAAGCTCTAACCTTTGTAGAAATCGGATCTAAGCTTGTCCTCCAACTTCTAGCTCCTTCAATAGACTCCTCTTCTCCTTCATCACCTTAAAATGGCACTTTCAAGCTTAAGAACACATACACAAGCTTATACGGGTTTCTGCTCTCTAAGGGTTTCACTCACTGGTATATGGTGGCTGGGGTAAGGGCCTTATCATTCCTTTTATAGTCCTCAAGTCTCATTTAAGGTTTTGCATCTGAGTCAGTTACGCCCAACGTACCTCATGAAGTCTGCGTCCATAATAAGCGCATGAGTACGCACACAATATTGTCCGCTTTGGGCCACTCGGCACGAGGACTTCCCAGGGGGTCACCCATCCTGGTACTACTCCTACCCGACCACGCTTAACTGCAGAGTTCTTATGGGATCTGCTGCCCTCACGGCTTTAAAACGCGTTGTGATAGGGAAGGTATCCACACCCCTTATAAGGAATGCTTAGTTACCATTCTTGGTGTTTCTGAGGTTCTAGATGCATAAAGTTCCCTGCTTTAGGGTTTGGAATCCCTCATGCTTGAGTTGGTGTCCTTTTGGTGAAAGTATAATGCTTTATCTTGAAGATTGGTTCTTTTAGGGCATGCAATGTCACCAAGTCAGTGACTTTATGGCTATAGACACTTGTGTGGACTCAGATCTATGGTTTGGACTTTTTGACTAAATAATTAAGAGATTAATGTCGAAATTGGCTAAATGAATGAGTACGCTGGGCGTACAAGTCGGTACACGTAGTGTACAATCCAAATTGCATGTATGCTTAACGTACAACTGAGTACACCCCACGTACTCAGTCAGGAGGGTTTTTGTAACATCCCGACTCCCAGGTATGATCTTTATTTAATTTTAATGATTTTAATTGAGCAACTCGACGAGTTGGAGGCCCCAACTCTTCGAGTATAGAAGGATTTGGCCACATGGGTTTTACGATCAACTCAATGAGTTGGAGAGACCAACTCGACGAGTTGGCGCTGTGAGAGAAAACCCTAATTTTTTGGGTTGTGTCCTATTTAAAGGACCTTAAGCCATCATTTCCACCTCCCATGTCACCTTACTTCCCTTTGTGAAACCCTAATCGTCTAGAGTGATTCAAGAGAGAAAGAAGAGCTAACTTTAGGCATTCTAGTGTACTCTTTAAAGAGAATAGGAGAGTATCAAGGCTTGGAACAAGAAATAGCTATTAGAGCCAGTGTTTGTTCATCCATTAGCTTCTGTTGGAAGGTAAAAGTCACCACCTTGTTCATTATTTTGATTAGATCTCGTTTTTAGGAAGTTTTCGGGCTTTTTCAACCTTTCCTTGAGACTTTGAGTATTTTGAGCTTGCCAAGAGATTAAGAATTCAGATCTAGACCTTATGAGGTCCCTAAAGCCAAAAGGTCCAAACTTTGTCAAGTTAGAGGAGAACTTTTATGCTTAAGACCCTAAATGGAACTTGTTTTGGCATGTCAAGCCCTAAGTGCCATGCATGGACGTAAAGCTTGCAATTTTACGTGGTATCTCAGCCTTAAGGGATTCGACGAGTTGATGAGCCAAACCGACGAGTCGGTCAGGGTTTACCCCGATGGTCTGGACGTGTTACAGACTCGACGAGTTGATGAGACAACTCGGCGAGTTGGGTTGAGATTTCCCGACTTATCTGAGAACAGGAGGAACTCGACGAGTCACCTAGATGAACTCGACGAATTTAGTCAACAAGGACTATTGACTTGAGTATTGACTTATGTTGACTTTTAGGGTTGGTCAATTGTGGACTTAGGAGATCATAAAGGGGTAAAATGGTCTTTTTCACCCCTTTGAGAATTAGTGGAGAAATTAGCTTAACAATCTCGAAATATTCTCTACCAAATGGCTTATTAGAGATAATTATATTATGTAGGCGGAGTCTAGTCTGTTCTTGTGGTACTAGAGCTACTTACTTACATACGAGGTGAGTCTTCTCACTATACTTACCATGAGTGGTAATTCAGTGTGACTGGAGGGTCTATGCTATTATTAGGTATTGTAATATCCTAAATTATGTCTTTGTGATTTATGTTGTGTATTATGCTAAGCTTTATTGAGTTCGGACGGGAGGGTCCAAACCGAGTTGTGGGACCGGAGGGTCTCCACTGAGACACATTGATCGGAGGGTCTTTATTGAGTTATAGCCATGAGAGGCCAATGAAATGTATGTGATATTTTTGGGAACTCACTAAGCTTTGTGTTTACCGTGTTATGTGATATGTGTTTCAGGTACTTCTCACGATCGAGGGAAGGCGTCGGCTTGATTGTACACATGAGATGGAGTCATGTTTTGAGGATCCTGGATTTTATTTAAAAAATTTATGAATTTGTGTTTTTGGATAATTTAACACTTTGGGGTTTTTGTGAATTATTTTTATGAGATTTATGTGATTTAAAAATAAAAAATTTGTTTGAAAATTTACGGTGTTACAGTTTTTGCTTTTGGGCTTTGTGGTTGGGTTTCCTTTTTGGGCCTTGGTTGGTTATTTGATTTTTAGGCCTTTTAGGTTGTGAGTTTTGGACTTAGTCTTGTACCAAGCTAGGTTATGGGCAAAATGGTATTTTTACCCCGAGTATGGATTTATGGTTATGGATTGGAACCCAATTGTTAATTGGGTGTTATTTTGATATTGACTGTTCGGGGAATCTGTCAGCTAGTAGCCAGGGATCGTCTTTATGATTCGGCAGAGTGAAGTGAGTTTCCTCACTGGGTTTACCGGGTCGAAGGCACCAATGCCGACCCATGGATTTTATGTTAAAATGCTAGATGTCTGCGTAACTCTTGCATGCGTTATGAGATGGTATGCTTACCTGGCAATGCCCGATGCCAGGCGAGACCTAATGAGTATATTGTATGCTAGTTATTAGTATCTGTTTTTATGCTTACCGGTCAAAGCCTAATGCCAGGCGGGGCTTGATGATGGTATGGTATGCTATAGTCTTTTTGATTATTGCATGTGTTAGTAAGGGTATATGTTATATGGTTATATGATTATTTGTGTATCGGGCGGGGCGTGGTGATTGACAGATCTGTAATCCGAGCGGTGCTCGATGCTGGGCTAGCCTCGAGGCCAAGCAGGGCTTTATGCCGGGCGAGGCCCGTGGTCGAGTGGGACTCAAGATCGGGCGAGGCCCAATGGAGGGCGGGGGTCCAGTATGTGATTTACGTATGTATGGTATGAGGTATCTTAGGGAACTCACTAAGCTTCGTGCTTACGGTTTCCGGTTTTGTTTCAGGGACTTCGGTTTTTAAATGGAAAGGCTTGAGATGATTGCAGAGCATACACCAGATGTTTCCACATTCTGTGAATTAATTTGATTTAATGATGCTTTTGCTAAGTCTTGATTACCTTGGTTTTATGGAGATGATATGTATTAACAATTTATTAATCTATATCATTATTTTTGGAACATTACATAATACTTCGTAATAATTGCACAAATCCGTTGAATTCTCTAATGCAAATATATCGGTCATAAATGGTATATAAACAAGATTTATGATTTGTTTTTAACCATGAACTTTGGTTGTATTCTTTTATAATGTTTTGGGGGTCAAAATAACATATAAAATATATAAAAGCTATTAATTTTTTCTTTTTGTTTTTGTGTTGCTTGCACTAAACCAAAGCACCAGTGTCCATCTAAAGAATGATCATGTGTCCATACAAAAGGTAGAATCGCCCTTGCATATTTGCATGATCATTAATTACAAACCAACTCCTTGACATAAAGTGATGCTTAAGCGATTGTAACTCATTTTTTCAAACACGTTGGTGTTACCAAATGTTTATCTAGTTGCTTGATTACTTGCTTAACTATTAATAAGTACATTGGCTGTGACCAAGAATTTTGTTATTTGTTTGGGAAAGCTTCAAATCCGTAATTGTGCTTAATTAAAGCACCTCCCCTGGTGTCATCTCATTTCCATCATGGCATCACCTTGTGTTCCACTGCTAGCCAGGATTCTAGTAAGTTAAGTATTCATTTTCTAATTTATTTACGTTTGTTATCTACTAGTCAATTTGATTGGTATTCATTTTTTTGTTTCTGGAAGTTTATTACGTTGTTATTTTTGGAGATTATTACTAGCAAGGTTAATGGATCTTATTCGTTTGACTTTCATAACAACAAAACTTTTACACATTCATTGAAAGCAAAAACTAATTAACCCGCATTAATTTGTTTTCGTTATGGATGGGGGATGATTATTCCTCTTGGCTGGTGTCGAAAAGAAAAATATTTATTCTCTTAGACTACCAAAAAGATGAGGTCCTTTTAAACCAAAGACAGAATTTTGTAGGGCTTGAAGTGTCATTATCCCTAAAACCAAAGGGACCAAATTGTAATGTTGTGAAATTTAGACTAGTATTGGCGCCCTTGCTCATATGCTCCAAACAGTTTCTTCGTCTCACTCATAGAAGAAAATGTTGTTCGCACCATGGTTTCGATTCATCACGCAGAAGCGAATTCCATCCACTATGATCCATCACAGAAACTACAGTGATCAGACAAAATTGCAGGTTTGATTTCATTTTTAATCACCTATTTGATTTGGTATCTAGATGTGAATTTTTTTTGTTAATTTACACAGAATTGTGAAGCACGCAAAGCTTAACCGTCCGAATGCGAGTCATTGTCGGATATTAGCTTATTGATTTCTCTAGTATAATGATTGTATGTTGATTGATATTTACAGGAAGATCTGAGAAAGGTTCTCAATGAGGAGGAGGTAAATTGTATGTTATTTTATGTGATCTAAAGTTTTCCAGAAAAAATAAACTTAGTTTATAGCAATTGAACTCATTCAAAATGTTGTGTTTGCTGAAATTTCCGAGTGCGAGTCATTGTCGGATATGTCACTAATTTAGCTTATTGATTTCTCTAGTATAATGATTGCATGTTGATTGATATTTACAGGAACGTTTGATCAAGGTTCGCAAGGAGGAGCAGGTAAACTGTATGTTATTTGATGTGATCTAAAGTTTCCAGAAATAATAAACCTAGTTTATAGCAATTCAACTCATGCAAAATGTTGTTTTTGCTGAAAATCGATAGTTACAGGAACAGCCAAGCGTGCTTCGTCAGTTGGCTGAGGTATACTGTATGTTATTTTAAGTTTGATCTAACGTCTCTCCTCATTAATGTGTTTATATACAGATTACAATATTAAGATAACAACTACAGAGATTACAAATTAGGGATACGATATATACTCATTCAAAATTGAACGATATCACTTTATCTCCTTATCATAATGTTTTTCTTTTTGCTGAAAATCGATGATATTTACAGGGATTGGCATGGAATCGTCAGCTGGATGAGGTAAATTGTATGCTATTTTATTCTGCATTTAAACTCAATTGAAGTTGTAGTAACTAAATATGCCCAAATCATTACCAATTTCACTATGCATCTTCGTAATGAACCCATTGACAAGCCACCTTTGTCCATTTTGCCCCTTTCAATCTGCATGAAGATTATTTAGAAAGTATGACGATTGGAGTAAAATAATGAACAATAATCAACTTGTACTGTTTTTTTTATCGATTTCATTAGCTTTATGTTTCACTACATCTTTTTGTCTACAATACCAATTTGTTCAATCTTTCCACGTGACTCTTCATCTCAATATACTGCTTCAACCGGGCGACAATTACATTTTCATTGTTAAGTCAAACTTTGGTTACATTACTTGCAAATGTCTTGTTCATCTACAGGGGCAGAAGAAAACTCAGGGATCTATTCATTGTTAAGTAAAAATCTTTATGAACCTCTAATGCAATCAATAAAATAGAAATTTTTTGCATTATTATGAGTTATGATGGAGATAATGCAAGAACCGAATAAGGAAAATTCCCCTTAATTGGTGTAAGAAAAATCAAGTAAACACAAAAAGTCAAATATTAATATTTAATACCACGTATGCATTCATCTATTTGGGAAACATATTGCTTTGCTTGTTTATATACTCCTGTTGGGTTGGGGCTTTACACCCTGTTAAATATAAGCCTTGTTATCTGATGACTTAAGAAAGGTACATCATACTTATGGTGATTGATACCTAGCTTTTTCATGCTCCAAAGTTGTATTCATTAAATTTAGTTATTTTGCAGGTTGCTCGTGAGTATTCCTATGAAAACATGAAGACGATCCATGGAGGTATGAACACTGTATCAAATTTTAAAATTTTTTTATCAAGTTTTTCAACAAAATGTTGACATTGATAATGCTTGCAGGGATTGCAATGACAATTAAAAAAGCATGTTTGTTCCCATATAGCGGTATATACATTTATTTACCTATGTCCAAAATTATAAACGTAGTTTTATTTATTTAACTTACCCTTGTATAATTGCAGATCCCGAGGTGACATTCTATAATGGACCAACTTTTTCCATGCAGTTTCGAAAAAGTATGTCTAATTTATATTCACTAAATTTTAGATTAGAATTATAAATCAACTTGATATATATATATATATATATATATATTATATATATATATATATATATATATATATATATATATATATATATATTATAATATATATATATATATATATATATTATATATATATATATATATATATATATGTGTGTGTGTGTGTAGCAATGGCAACAGGGATAAAGAGTGGCATCCTGCATCCAAACCACCCAATCCTCGAGTATCTGCTGGATTATGAGAAAAGGGGACCTCAGGACAAGCGTAAAGGAGAAAGCAAACTGGTGAAGAATTTCAAAGGAAGTAAGTTATTTAAAATCTTATCTATATTGTTCTAATGTTTTGGTGAATTCGTTGGATAAATAATAATGTAATTTTCTTGCATAGATATGACAGTTATAATTGCAAACCGCATCAGGCCAGTGGCACCTGTTAAAAAGGATTGGTAAGTAACCACTTCTCTCAACTATATTAATTTGACTATCTGTGAGAGTAGTACGTGGGTTAATTTGAAAATAAATAAATATAAAGGTTAAAATATTTAAGAATTTTGAATTTTGAAGAAAATAAGAAAAATAATGAATTATTATAATTAAAATGTTTTTTATCTTTTAAATTAAAAATAATAATTTAAATAAATAAACAAAAGAAACTAATCAACTTAATTTGAAAATTTTGATATTAAAATATAAGTTAATTAATGAAATTTATTTATTACTACATTTATTGCAATTATTATATCAAAGTATTATGTGAAATTAATAAAATAGAAAACTCATAAAATAACATGTGAAAAAAATAATAATTCAAAATAACCATAAAATGACATTTGACAAATTGAATGAGAGTGTAACATATAAAAAAAAAAAAAAAAAAAAAAA